TAGCGACCCCTCCTTGGGTTTCTGAGGCGGTATCTCTACGGAAGTAGATTGCCCAGCCTTCCTTCCGAGGAGCGGCTGTTGGGTTTGAACCGAGTAGCCTGTTCCTTGACCTGACAATATATCGTGGCCACCCGAATCGAGATCTGCAGCATCATTACTTTTTAACTTTTTATTTAAACATAATTTTAGACTCATATAAAAGTTGCAGAAATAACACTAAATATTCCTGTATGTCCGTCAGCCAGCTTTCTCAAATGGTAGCAGACTCTATGACAGTAATTCAGTCATCGGGAGGCCCCAGGTGGCTCAAATGGTTAAGCGCTTGACTCCCAGCCAAAAGCTTGGTGGTTGGAACCCTCCCCCGGGAGGCACCTGGAAGAAAGGCCTGGCAGTCTTCCAAAAGGTCCCAGCCTTGAAAACCCTATGGAGCAGTTCTGACCGGCACACGTGGGGTTGCCATGCATTGGAATGGACTTGGTGGCCCCCAACAACAACAATACAAGTAGGAAGTTAGCACAGGCACAGTGTGATGAGCTAAGTGAGCTTTTCCACAGATGTCCTTGTTCCTGTCCTGGATACCATCTCAGTCCCACGTTGCGTTGATCTATTTACTTATTTTACAATTTATTTGTTGTTGTTTAGAACACACACAGCAGAACATACACCAAGTCCACAGTGTCCACGTGGACAGTTCAGGGACATTAACTGCATTCTTGGAGCTCTGCGCCCATTCTCACCCTCCTTTTCTGAGTCATTCCCCTCCATTAGCATAAACTCACTGCCCCGTGAGGCTCCTATCGAACCTTTCGAGTTGCCATTGTCCCTCTGATTCTGTAGAGAGAGCTTCAAAGAGCACAGAGCTCACGGCAGGTGTTCCTTCCTAGTGAGGCTGCGCTATCATTTGGTTTTAAGAAGACCTCCAGGGATATTTTTGGTTTTCCATGTGGCACGTAGTTGTCCTCTCTCCCAGGACAGCTTCTCAGTCCTGTCTTCCGTAACACCTAATACCTTGGAAGACTCCTGGTCGGTTGTTTTGCGGGAACTGCCCTCGATTTGGGGCTGTCTGATAGTTTCTTATGATCAGAATGAGGTTATACATTTCTGTCAGGAAAATCACGGAAGGCCCTGGTGACCTCGCCCGTCAGTATCCCCCAGAGGTGACCTCTCTTCTGCCCTCTCTCACCACGGTTAGTTGTCCCTGGCTTTGAACTTTGGAGCGCCTCTACGGCTTGATGTCCTCTCTAAATCTCAGCCGCCGCCTTCATGAGAGGGCACAGGTCGAGTTAGGTAATGATTAATGGATCCCCCGCTTCTAAAATTAACCTTTGACACAGAATGTGCTCACTACAGCTTCAGGTCAGCTGGTGATTGTGGCCGATAAAATTCCACCCAAACCAAGGACCGTGCTGTTTCGTTGTAATTAGCCGGCCAGGCCTGCCCAGGGTGCCGGGCGGTGAGCCAGCTCCACTGGCCTTTGGCACGCGGGCCCTGCCTTTGAGCCCCTGGGGCGGCCAGGGCCTACTCACGCCTGGACTCTCCTGGAGCAGACCTGGGAACATGGCACCAGGCACCCACAACACCTCTGGCAGGCATTTTTCTTTCCTTCTTTCTCCCTCCCTTTTCTCTCCCTCCCTCCCTCCACACTGCTGTTGAGGTATATTTTGCAGATCATAAAATGCCCCCATTTCAAGTCAGCACAAATCGGTTGCAGGACACTTCCATCCCCCGGTAGGATCCACTGGCCCGTTTACTGCGACCTCTGGTCCCATCCCTGCCCGTGGCATACACTTCCTTGCTTCCCTGCCTCTCTGGGTTCACCTCCCCTGGCCAGTTCACAGAGATGTGCAGTACGTGGTCTCCGTGTCTGGCTTCTTTGACCCATGTGATGTTTCCCAGGTCTGTGACGTAGCACGAGTCAGCAGTCGGGGCCTTTTTCTTGCTGAGCTGTAGCCTTCCGTTAGCCTGTCTCCTCTTCTGTGATGGGTGTTTTTCTTATCCCCATTGTAGAGATGGGGGCACTGAGACCAGAAAGGGTATAGGACCCTACCTTCCAACCTCGGGAGCCTCTTGCCACACCTTAACCACAGTGTTTACTTTCCTGCCACAGGCCCTTTGCACGGCTGTTAACCTTTGCCTAGAGCGCCCTTCCTGCTCCTCCTGGCTGGCCCTTCTCATCCTTTGTTCTGAGCTACACCCCTGGTGCCAAAGCAGCTCCCCCACTCTCCCGCCCAGATAGCTTCCTTCATAAACACTGACTTGGGCTTGCACTCACCATCGTGTAGTTTATCTGCTCCCCCCTGTGAGCTCAGGTGAGTGGGGGACACGTCTCTCCCATTCACAGCTGTGTCCTAGTACCAGGCACGTGGCAGGCACTTGGGGACCATGTGCTGAGTGGCTGTAGGAGAAACACCTCCCCCAGGCCCCTGGTGGTCGGCCTGGGCAGCCGAGGGAGTGCACGCTGCCCCGCCCCTCCAGCCCCTGTGGCCCTGCCACCCCCACACTTGAAGTGCCATGTCGAGCCCCAGCTCACTGCCTTCTCTTCACACGTCCTCGCAGGACCTGGCCCAGCTTCAGGAGGGCCGGCCGGCAGAGCACCGGGACGTGGTCCTGCAGAAGGTGTCAGACTCAGAGAAGCTGCTGTACGTGCTGGAGGCGGACGCGGCCATCGCCAAGCACATGAAGCACCCCCAGGGGGACATGATCTCTGAGGAGTATGTCCCCACCGCTTTGGGTCCCCAGGGAGCTATCTGGCTCTGGGCCAGCACAAGAGGGCTGCAGAGTGGTGGCCGAGGGCACTTGGCACATAGGGGCGACCCCGTATGTTATGGGCTCCCAAGTTAGGGGTATGTTTGCTAGTGGCTAACCAGATACTAAGGAGCCCTGGTGGCGCGGTGGTTAAAGCACTCCACGGCTAACTGAAAGGTTTGCAGTTCAAACCCACTAGCTGCCCCATGAGAAAAAGATGTGGCAGGTGGCTTCCGTGAAGGTTATTTGCTGTTGTTATGTGTTGTCCAGCCTTGGAGACCCTGTGGGCAGTTCCACTCTGTCCTCCAGGGGCGCTGTGGGTCAGAATGGGCTCCAGGCAGTGGGTGTGGTTTGGGCTTTGCTTCTGTGAAGATTGACAACCTTGGAGATCCTGTGGCAGTTCCACTCTGTCCTCTAGGGGCGCTGTGGGTCAGAATCCACTCCACAGCAGTGGGTGTGGTTTGGGCTTTGCTTCCATGAAGATTGACAGCCTTGGAGACCCTGTGGGCAGTTCCACTCTGTCCTCTAGGGGCGCTGTAGGTCAGAATGGGCTCCAGGCAGTGGGTGTGGTTTGGG